GTTTGAGTATTGTCATCACCTGTTTTCAAGATGATGTATGGATATAATAGGGAGAAGTTACATGTTAATCACTTCTGGGGTTAAAGGGTTCAAATGATAAGAAAGCAAAATGTGTCATATGGTGACATCATCCATGCATCTCTCCACCGATAGATCATAAGTAAGAACCATTCACAACACAGGTATCATTACTTCTTGATACTATTCTCACAACTAATTCCTTTTTACAGGACATATCATGGCTATGAAGTGTTTGATTTTATATCAACCATCCAGTTCAATTTCTTTAGGGGAGAGAGGGTTATAAAAATCTTAAAAGAAAAAGTTAATGACTGAATTTCCTTTATAACTAATAATAATAACAATAATAATAATAAATAAAGCTTTAATTATACAGGAGATATCTATTAGCACTATACAACACTGGTCTTAACACGATGTCCCGTAAATAAAATTTATAACAATATCGTTGTGTGCAAACCCATAACATTCCTAACTTACTTCTTTTGGAACAATCTTAGTTCAAAAAATCTATTAGTCTGAATGAACAATTATCCTGCGACATTAAATTTTTAATTTACAAAACAAAAGAGTTAACAAACTCTACATAGTTACATATCAGGTGTTAGAGCCAATGATTTCTCATAATAACCGCGAAAAAGTTTTTTCCTTTTTAACTAAGCTTAACAAACGAGGATTTCCTTTCTTCGGCCTGTCATAAATATCCGGAAGTTAACATCAGCCCGCGTGTTATGCACCTGCTGATGTCAAGTCATAAGAGCCAAAGATTCCTTCTTGACCTTCTTTCATAATCATATCCATCGAGTTTAAGATACTCCAAAGAAAACCACGTGAACTACTCTTAACCGTAGTGTGTAATCATCTATTAGGATAGTTTTTTCCAAAGTCAGTTTTTTTTATCAATTTAATGATCCCTGGCTATACTTATAAGTACACTCACCCCAAATCCACAGTAATACTCCAAGGGATGCCAAGATAATCCCTTTCCAGAGGCGGCCTGCTCTCTGAAATTTATACTTCATGTAGTAAAATCTTCTTCTCATCGAAACTATGATGACAGGAATCATTATTTCTAAGTACCGTTTGAAAAATGGTCGGGATTAAATCCTACTGGTTAGAGGTACACCCGAAGAGCACTAGTGACGAGTTTCTGAGTCGGGCGAATTATCGGAAAATTGTCAGCGGCCTAATTTAGTAACTCCATTTGCGATTTTTAACAACAGTGACAAGCGACGTGATGAACCAGAGTCGAACATTATTACATACCTTACATGTGAATAATTACGGTGGCTGCTTAGTAGGTTGGCTGGTTTGGGCCATAATAGCCTGAGACACAATTTTTTGTCGGAAATTGATAAAGTAACCTTCTTTCGAAACACTAATAACAAATAGTTGCTGCACGGCATTTCAATAAATTTACTTTTACTTATCTACATTACACTAACAAGTGTAAATTTCCACTTATAACTGTAAATTTATACCTACTTGAATGTAAATTTCTCTTTAAAAACCATGAATTGAAACTTCATCCATAACTGACGATGGGGTACTAAGTAGAGAAGGAAGCAATCGCTTGAGATATGACGGTCTGGATGTTATTCCTTTCGGTTTCAGCAAAAAGTTTAGCTCCAGAAAATGTTCTTCCACCCTATCTTCCCGCATTACGTAGTGGTCAATGGAGCAGAAATCTGCTGGCTACACTGAAATTCTCGCGTTTCTTTGCATCGTTCATGGCATTCGGCTTAGCCTTCGTCATCTCAAAAGAATTCTCTGTATCTCTGTAGAATTGGATTGAGAAGAAGGGGAACGAGTAGTAATCCCCACGACGTGATTTTAGCAGTAGAGCAAGAGTCGTAGTGATAGCTTGTTAGGCTACCGTCAAATGCAACAAAGAATTACTCTAGACTATGGAATGATAGTGGATAGGGAAACGATTCGTCGATTCCTTGTTGTACTTGATCTTAACGGAGTTCGTGAACGAGCTCGTCATAAGTTACGAAGACGACAATACCTATCAAAAGGTCCAAATTATATTTGGCACATTGATGGCTACGATAAGCTGAAGCCATTTGGGTTTGCATAAATGGAGCGATAGATGGCTACAGCCGCCGTATCCTGTGGCTTGAGGTTGGTTCCTCAAACAGTGATCCTCGTATAATCAGTGGCGGATCGAGGAGGAGGGTCCGGGGATCCAGACCCCCTCACAGACCTGACGCTTACAACTTTGAAATTGAAATTCTTACATCGACAGGATCGTATATCACTTTTCAACTGGCTGATCTTTTTAATGAATCCAAGTAAATGGTAAGCGACCAAGGAGCTATAACGTGCAACCGCGACTGGTGGGAGGGGGTGTGGGGAAGAAGTAATTTGCCTCAAAAGAGTCCAACAGTCCTTTCTGAACCAAAGCTTGGACCCCCCAACCAAAAATTATTGGATCCGCCCCTATATAATCGCTACCTTCTCTCATGATTGCGTCAAACAACCGGGAGGGGCCGCCTCCCGGTTAGTTCAATTGGTTAGAGCGCTGAACTGTTGTGCGGGAGGTCGAGGATTCGAGCTCCGGCCGGACCAACACTCATGGTCTTAAAATAACTGAGAAGAATGTGCTACCTTTCTATAATATCAAGAAATGGATAAACATTCTAGTCTTCTCGGATAAGGACGAATAAACCGTAGGTCCCGTCTCCTGCATCTATTGATATAAGGAACACAGAGTCTCTGGGGTTATTTAAACGTAAGATCAATGACATTCTTTAAGTCTAACGCACGGCATTCACGGAAAACAGCTTTAGTGATATAGTATGTAGTTTTAATTTTAAATATCTTAGCGTATGTGATATGTATTTTTATATGCTGATGAATTGATCGTGTTTAAATAAAGATTACATAAATAAAAATAAATTAATTAATTAATTAATTAGATAATTTGATTAGGCAGGGACCGTTAAAGAACCCACATCACGAGATTACTGTGCTGTAGTCTGGCCTGTTTACTGGCAATTGGGAGGGAGGGGGCATCTGTAAAAATTCGCCTTTGTTGCCTTTGTAAACTGCCACTGGCAGTCTGGTAAAGTCCCCGCACAGTGTTGTAAAGCACCTTGAACATAGGATAAGAGCGCTATAGAAATGAAACCTATCATTATTATTATTACTAAACAGACTCCTCCCCTCCGTCGTTGAGGACTTCACCCCCGAAAGTCAGTGTGGCTTCCGATCCAACAGAGGAACCACAGACATGATCTTCGTGCTCCGGCAAAATCCAGGAGAAATGCAGAGAACAAATTATGGGACTGTATGTAGCCTTCATCGACCTGACAAAGGCGTTTGATACCGTGAGCAGGGACGGCCTATGGAAAATACTCTCGCGCTTGGAATGCCCACCAAAATTCCCCGAAATGATCCGCCAGCTACATGAGGGCCAGATGGGTCAAGTGAAGCAAAACGGCACTCTTTCGGACAGTTTCCCCATCTCCAACGGTGTCGAGCAAGGCTGTGTGCCTGCACCCTCCCTCTTCTCTATCTTCTTCAGTATGATGCTGCAGGAAGCAAAAGAGGAGGTCCTAGACGAAATCTATATCTGTTTCCGCCCAGACGGCAGTCCCTTCAACCTTCGACGGCTGCTAGCCCACACCAAAACCGTAGAGCAGCTCATCACAGAACTGCTGTTCGCTGATGATTGTGCGCTCCTCGCTCATATAGAAACCGCGCTAAAGCACCTGGTAAACCGCTTCTCTGACGCGTCCAAGGCCTTCGGCCTTACCATCAGCCTGAAAAAGACTGAGGTGCTGTACCAGCCACCGCCCATGGAAAACTACTCCCCTCCCCACATCACTATTGACGGTGCAACACTAAACCCAGTCGAACACTTCACGTACCTTGGTAGTGTGATATCCAATGATGTTTCCACCGACAAGGACCTTGACAACCGTCTCTCAAAGGCTAGCAGTTCCTCCGGTAGACTGTCCAAACGAGTCTGGAAAAACTACTCCCTCCGTCTCATAACCAAAATCAAAGTTTACAGAGCGGTTGTCACCCCTACATTCCTGTACGGTGCAGAAACCTGGACACTGTATAGAAGACAAGTGAGGCTTCTCGAACGCTTCCACGAGCGGTCCTTGCGCTCCATCCTAAACATCAAGTGGCCCGACTACGTGTCCAGTGAAGACGCTCTTGAGAAGGCCCAACTCCCCAGCATTGGGTCCATCCTGCTTAAGCAGCAGCTGCGCTGGGCGGGTCACTTCACTAGAATGGAGGACTCTCGCATGCCAAAAGCTGTTCTTTTCGGTGAACTCAAGGCCGGAAAGCGGAACCGTGGTGCTCCAAGAAAAGAGGCACTATTTAGGCTATTTAACTACGCAAATGTTTAATCAAAAAAGGTTTCACAGAGGGTTCAAACTCTACTGGGTAAAAGCTGTGGATGGTTTTCAAAGTCTTTTTCAAACAGGATGGGCCGTCAACGAAATGAGAGACTGGGGAGAGTGAAACAAACAATTTCAAACGATACAAACCTACAAACATCCGTGAATACATCAAAAGTAAAATTCTATTCTTCTGTTCATTAATTTGTAATTACAATTATTTTGGACATTGGGAAATGACCTTTAAGGGTTAGCGAACTGACATTAGATGTTGGCAAATCGACCTCATACGTTTTCTTATGGTGAATGCTGGTCATTTTGCCAATGTGTCAGTTAGCCAACAAACAGTTTGAAAAGTCTAGAAAATGGTTTCAAAGATGTAGAAGCAGAATTTCTTTTGAACAGAGTTCCTTTGCTTTGTGCAGATATATTCCTAACAAGTCTCAGAGTGTTAATGCAAGAGCAAAGGGCAATTCTTTTTTTTTTTTTGCAAGATGTTTTCTCTCACTGTATAATATTCACTCAAGATAATAAAGAATACCAAACTATTTTAGGAGACTTGAAGAAAATTTTTTGGGTTGTCAGGAGTGCAGCTTTACTCTTAGTTGCTTCAAGTTGGTCTTAGGCTTTCAAGGAATTTAAAAACCATCAGACAGTTGAAACTAACTACTAATAAAAGTGTTTGTTGAAATTGCAGTTTCTCTTTATCTTCCGCAAAGCTGCAGCTGGTGAACTTCTGGAAGACTCAGGTTTTAGTGCTTTAGCCAGACTTGCTGAAGTCGATGTGGATGAAGTAGGTGTGGGAGGTGCAGCCAAGTTTTTTGAAGCCAAGGTTAAAGAACAAGCATCATCAAACAAGTTTGAAGCTGAAATTCGCCAAGAACAAGAAGAGAGGAAAAAGGCGGCAGAGGAGGCTAAAGCCAGGAAACAAGGATTTAAGGGTAAGCAAGCAGCATTTGGGGCGCACTAAAAGCAACATGCTAGCCTTGAAATGAGTTTAACAGTGCAGTTTTCAAATAACTTTTTAGATCACCAGAATAAATTACAAGAAATTCAGACAAATAGTACAGCTCCATGTATACCTGTTTGTTTTTTGTTGGATCTGTGTTGAAAGCTGTTTTCCTTTTTGAAGTCTGGCTTGACTTTGATTTCACTCAAGTAATTCAATACCAGGATGATTACAAATTAAACAAAAATAAATCTTAAGTTCTGAATGTTGGACAGTATAGCAAGGTGTTAACTTCTACCAGATCTCTTTAACCCTTTTACGACCAAGATTTCATTTTAGTAAGTTATTCTCCTTACAAATGAATAAAGGCTGATAGTTTCTAAAGAAACTGTTTGGAGCTGCGTCGGTGGGGTAACGAAATAATTTCAATATATCAACAAAGTTGAAATGGTAAATTGGCCACCGTTACGATTATAAAAGCTGACGTTTCGAGCGTTAGCCTTTCGCCATTCGCTCTTAGATCAGGTCCACATCAAGGAATTCGTAGTATATTTTCCTGACAAGGAGTGATAGAGAATATTTTCAAATCAGTAAGTTGAACTACCATGGTTTAAATGAAATGGTTATATGATAAACATTGGAATTATTACTTAAAATTTGGTGTAACTAGCACTGCAGGGTATTAGTTTTATTTGTATAAAAATAGAAATTAGAACATTTCTTTTTTTAAAAAAAAAGTAACCACATGTAGGTAAGTGTATCTGGTATTATGTTGCTTGCACCAATCAGATCACCTCATTAGGGTACGTATCTCACACCAATCTGATTGCCAAATTAAGGTATGTATCTTCTACCAATCAGATTGCCACATTATGGTGTCTCACACCAATCTGATGGCCATATGAGGGTGTGTTTCTCGCACTGATCAGATCGACTCATTAAGGCATTTGGGTATGCTTGCACCAGTCAGAGTATTGTCCTGCACATCAACGACAAATGTTGCGACGGAGTCAAGCTAGCACTGACGTGACATCTCGTCACGCAAGGAGGGGAGAGAAAACGAGACCAAACAACGCTGTGAATGAGACTACAGCAAGTGTAGCACAAACGCAGTTAAAGGTTGATTGAGGTTATTCAGACGCCATTGACAATAGACCACAAGACACCTGTCTCTGAGTTTACTTCAGATAAATGGGAAGGGTTTTTTATTTGCTCCCCATTGAAAGTTAATGATCCTTCTATCACAAAAATGCAACCCACTCATCCAAAAAGAATAACTCCTGTATGCGTAGTAAGCCTTTGTTAAAAACATTGTTCAATAGAGTTACTTCGCATTATCTTGAGACTCAAGAATGAATATCGTCAAATACTAGCAATAACTTTCCTCAACAAAGAGCATACATACATTCCTATTTTTCTTTCTACTGAGTGTAATTTGAAAACGATGCCAGCATGTCAAATCTTTTTCACCTTTTTTTCTATTTTTTCCCCTTCTTTTAGGGAAACGAAACGAGCTGTAAGGAAAAAAAGATACATGATCATTTTGATCAGTACTTCAGGCCCTTGCTTAGACAATATGACTTCAGTGTTTTTATGGTTCAGATGGCTCAAATACTTCCTGTCACTGTAGCTTAGCTTGAAGAGCAAGGAACTATCCACGTCGATTGGTTATGCAACGTACGTTCAGGCAAACTCCGGGCTTAGGAATTGTACGTGACAACGGGTATCTTCAGATCTGTTCCGAGTGCTCAAAAAGTTCCGTTATTCATTACAACTAACCCAATATCGTTAGTTCTGCGAAGGAATTCGGTGCGCAACAGAATCAGTCTCATTATTTGTAGAGCATTCAAACTTCTCTGTCCTCTACGCAGCTGATCGGCCCAAAGGTCTTTGATCTGTGGTGAGCTTGGTGGATTTTACTTACGATGCACTTCTCATGAATCGCAGAACTGGTATTCATAGACAATATGGATCCATAAAATGGATAATGGTATCTTCTACACCAAAATTGCTCAGTTTGTACTGTTCTGCATTTCACGTAAATATACATTCCGATACTTTAATTGTGTTCTTCTCATAACCAGTTCAATGGTTGAATTTCTGGCGATTTGCAGGATTCATTGTCAAGTTTCCGTTCGTGAAGTATGAGTTGCTGTTCATTTGCCGGCATTCCTATGTCTTCCATTAATTTCCTTTTAAAGTCCTGTGGATGGTATCTTTTTATACAGCGTCCATTGTGACCTTAATTTTTTTTTTCAGCGGATCACGAAGCAGGAAATCATCATTCTGTTGTTCACATCCAGTCGTGAGGATAATTCAAACTGATTGTCACACTCACCCAAGGACGTTGGTCGTTGCAAGACTTCTTGGCCAACAAAGCTAAGGCGTTTTGAATCAATTGGACTCTCTTCTCCATCGTAGATTAGTTTTTATCACGCTCTCAAAATGATCGCTTCGTGAAAAATATAAAGAAATCTTCCCTCTCATCGGAAACTCCACAATGATTACTATTCTATCAAGTTCGTCATTAATCTACGTTTAATTATCTTGTAACTTTGTAATCATCTAACATTTGGTGGTCTTTGAGTTGTTGCCTCCTTAAGATCAAATGCTGTTGGCTAGTTGCAGTACCCTCTTTGTCTCAAATTTTCAATTTCACGTTCTTGATTGCGTCTGAAGGTTTTCTGAAGGCAATTCATCTTGCTAGTGAGAGTCTTTATAAAGAGTTCCAAGCACCAACGAGGTCATGAAATTAAGCATCAGATCGAGTCTCTTCAATATTGTAGTCATTCAGGATAAAGTCTGAGTTTTTTAGTCTTTTGCCAGCAAAGAAAAGAGTACTTAGACGTTGTTGATCCTCTGGAATACCTTCACTGACTTGAATTTTCGATTTCGCATTCTCTGTAGTGTTTGTGGGTTCCACTTCCTAGGTGATCGTCTTTCCAGACAGTGTTTCTCTTTTTTTGACAAATAATTGCATGCCCCTACGAATTCTTTAAACTAAGGGTAAGGTCGAGTAGTGAGTCAAAGTAGGGCCATCTTCAGGTTGCTTGCCAACAAAGATAAGATGTTGCTGACTCTGAGATTCCTTCTTTCTCTTGAAGTTTCGATTTAACATTCTCTACAGTGTCAAGTAAAGTCTCTCNGAATTTTCGTTTTCACATTCTGTATGGTGTCTAATGTATCCACTTCCAAAGAAATTATCTTTCCAGTCCGTACTTTTGCAAATATTTGCATGCCACCAGGACGGATTAAGTGCAAAGTCGATTCTCTCTGGACATTGTAATGACTTAAGGTACAGCCATTGTCAAGTTGCTTGCCAGCAAAGATAAGACGTTGCTGGTCTGGTGAGATTCCTTCCTAGTCTTGAATTTTCTTTTTCACATTCCATATGGTGTGCAATGGATCCACTTCCAAAGTGATCAACTTTCTGGTCAGTGTTTTCGCAAACATTTGCATGCCACCAAGAACGCTTAAGAGCAAAGTTGATTCTCTTTGAACATTGTAGTGACTTAAGGTACAGCCATTGTCAAGTTGCTTGCCAGCAAAGATAAGACGTTGCTGATCTGGTGAGATTCCTTCCTAGTCTTGAATTTTCTTTTTGACATTCCATATGGTGTCTAATGGATCCACTTCCAAAGTGATCGTATTTCCAGTGTGTGTTTTTTACAAGGATATGCATGCCATTGCGAAAACGTAGGTGCAGAGTCAATCTCTTTTGGATATTGTATTGACTTAAAGTACAGCCATCATCAAATTGCTTGTCAGCAAAGATAAGACATTGTTGATCTGGTGAGATTACTTGTCCGTCTTTCTCAGATAAGCCAAGGGAACTTTTGTCTAGTGTTTCTGGTGCGCTGTCGAACACGTTTTCACAGTAAGTCGATTCCCGACCAATTCCCACACTTCTGCTACTTGTCATTCCAAGTGGGTCATGACCTGAAAGCAAATATGAAGAAAAATTACATCGGCTTGATTCAAAATTATAGCCAATAACGTCATCAGACGCCTTAGCACTAATCAATAGAGTTGATTACAGTAAAGTTTATCAATCACCAATAGATTCCTGTCTTTCTTAAGTATTTTTAAATCGTTTTCATGTTCCTTGGCCAAAGGTGTCCCGAAGTATGAAGGTAAAGAAAAGAAAAATCTGTTTTCGAAGCAGTACCAACTAGAACATTTTTTTCTACCTTAAAATCTTTAAACGCCATTCCAATAATTTAATTATACTTTAAGGGCTCCTTAATGGGTGAACTAATCTTAAAGGAAAAGATACATTAATAAAAATCAGTAGGCTGACCTCCAGCTGAGTTAACGCGGCCCCCTTGTTGCAACTGATCTCCGAGACCTCGAGCTTCCTTTCGAAATTCCTCTGTTAAGTTCTGCACCTCTTGGCTTATGACAGTTTTCACCTCTCCTTCAAGCTTAACTCTGATTCCTTGATTTTTCTCTCGAAACTCTTCTTTTAGGTTCTGCACCTCTTGTTTCATAATAGTTTGTACCTTTCCCCCTAGTTTACCTCTGATTCCTTGGACTTCCGCCCTAAACTCTTCCCTTAAGTTCTGCACCTCTTGGGTTATGACAGTTTTAAGCTCTCCTCCAAGCCGATCTCTAATGACTTGGGCTTCCTCTCGAAGCTCTTGTCTTTAGTTCTGCACCTCTTGGGTTGTGCTTTTCATCTCTCCTCCAAGCTGATCTCTGATGCCGTGGGCTTCCTCTCGTAACTCTTGTCTTAAGTTCTGCACTTCTTGAGTTGTGGTTTTCGCCTCTCCTTCAAGCTGGTTTCTGATGGATTGATCTACCTTTCCAAGCTGCTCCTATTTTTTCCATCTAAGCAATCATTTCCGTATCAATCTGGTACGAGCGAAACAATTCTTGTTCACTCGTCTTCTTAAGTAAGAGGATCTTTTAAAAATTTATCAATTACTTTCTTCCATTCAATTTCCAACACTGGGTTAATCTGACTCGCAGTTCTCAACAGAACCAGACTAATTTCCTGCCAAAGTTTAGGAAAGTTTTCATCAGTTATCTCCATGTTTTGGTCCACGTGACCGTACACGGAATTCCGGTAGTGCTTAATTCTTGCTAAATCTGCGACCAAACTGTGGTCTGTACTCGCTGGTAGAGTATCCCAACCTGTAGCAGGAGGAGCAAGGGAACATATATTTCTCAGTAACTTGAACAGGAGGGTAAAATCAAAATCTCTCGACTTGCCGTACTCCCCTGGGGAAGGGTACAAAGGGTTTCGCGAACTTTTTAAGCTTGTTCATTATGGCTGGATTCTTCAGAATCGTGGGAAGATTATACGGTGAACACCTCAGATCAAAGACTTCTCTCAAAAGCGCGGTTCCTCCGCTTATTAAAAGCCGTTCTATCCGCTGAAAATTGCTCTTTCCTCTTGTTGTATGCAACACTCCCTCAGGGTCCGTGACAGTTGCTATTTCTCAGTTGAGAGGGAGGAATAGTAATATGAAACCTAATATCTGTAGAAAGAAAAACAAGTTGCTTATTGATTCGAAGTCTTCGGTTTTAAAGATCCTGAAATGCATACGAGTTACAACGCTCTAACTTAAAATGAAACTTTGATGTTAACACGATGTTTATATATATATATAGATATATAATTAACAATTATTCCACGAGCGCGCGTTGGATATGAGATGATAGATAGCCAACGAGGCGCGTAGCGTCGAGTTGGCTATAATCATCTCATATCCAACAAACGCGAGTGGAATGATTGTTTTATTAAAAACGCTACATTAAATTATTAAATTTTATTACATTTCTTAATTCCTTTTCAATTTTAAGCTTATGCGTACGCTTACCGTATCGTAGTTTATGGTATATTGGCTCATATACCATAATGGCTAAGCCAATGAAAAGTCTTGAATTGCATTATCCAATGATCCAGTTTTTTATTAAAAACTGGATCATTGGATAATGCAATTCAAGACTTTTTATTGGCTTAGCCATTATGGTATATGAGCCAATATACCATAATCTAATATCTGTTCATTGTAACATCTGGTTTCTTCTAATAAAATAAAGTCGAGAAGATTTTTCTAATATCTTGAGGGCGTCTTTTTTAATAAAACAATTATTCCACTCGCGCTTGTTGGATATGAGATGATTATAGCCAACTCGAGCTTGTAGTTCTGAGTTCATTGTTCAAATGTTGTACATGAATTGTAAGATACTCACCTCTCCGAGGATTTGATTTCTATGCAACCTGCAATGTGTGCCAGACAAAAACTAAATTTATGAGGCACCCAACATTTCAAAGTAAAATCCTTCAATAAAACCTACACTTACCGTCCATGCTTGTGCTCCGACGATCGCGTTCGGAGAGCGTGCTCAAAACTAGTTGCCAGACCCTTTTAGTTCCCTTTACTCCGCCATTTTGAGTTGTCAGGCGGGTTATCGCTGTGGACCCGTTCCCCATTCGCCGCTCCCCGTTACCAATTTTAGTAACATCCTTATTAAATATACATATAAATATAAAAAGTCTGCGTTTCGATTTTTCCGTATTACAGCGCTCGATACATAAAAGTAGAGCACAGTAGATGTTGAGTTAGAAAAATATGACTACGCTTTCATCCCTACAAGCCCGTTTCGTGATTGTTCACTCATCAGAGGGTTTTGATGATGAGTGAGCAATCACAAAAATGAAAGCGTGGTCGTTGTATTTTTCTAACTCAGCATATATATATTTTTAATCTCACAATAAAATGACGGTGATATTCACATGTTATGTCATTTTAATATATATTTCCCCTTGTCTCACCCACCCGAGTCGAGACGACTCGAACAGAAAATGCGTGTGCACGCTATAAAGCCCGTGCGTATTACAGCTATTCTATTCCTGTCGTACGCCATTCTGTCAAATATGTATCCTGGCCTGGCCGAACGACGGTTAGTAGATGTCAAATTTCATGTAAACGCTCTGTAGAATTGTCTCGGGGAGGGGGGGGGAGGGGCTGTCTCAGGTACCCGAGACTATATAAATTGGACCTTAAGGTGCCACACCTCAACTTTAGCAGTAGGTAGATGAGCAGGGTTAAGTTAAGTTCCAAATAGAAACTTGGATGATTTGCCAAATTTTGGTGATTTCACGTTGCTGTTTTGCAGAGCTAAGAAATGTAAAAAGCCTCTAAACGCACGTGCTAAGCTTCTGTTCTGCCCACTAGATCTTTTGTTGTTCTCCGTCTCCGTCTCCGTCGTCGTTTGACGTGGCCAACAAAAGATCTAATAGGCAGAACATTAGCTCAGCACGTGTGTTTTAAGACTTTTTACATTTCTTAGCCGTTCTCTGCAAAGTCTGCAAATTACCACCTTCGTCACATAACGGGGGGAGAGAAAACGCGTTGCGTGAAGAGACAAAATAACGGCTACCAAGGAGAGTACAGTAACTGTCGCACCAATGCAGTTTATTTTGCTTACAATTATTAAGAATTTATTTTGACACCTGAATTTATTTTTGACCACAAAACACCTGTGTCTGATTTAATTTCAGATAAACTGGGAGTTTTTTTTTAACTCTTGATTGAACGATATTTTTGTTGGAATTTTAACTTGAAAGTTCATGCTCTTTTCCTTTAACAAAAATGCAAGCATGAGTTACTTAGTCCCATATCTCACCTTACCCATCCAACAAACAACTCTTGCATGCATAGCAAGTCTATGTTTTCCTTGAATGAGACATGCTGGAGAGCTGTCGAGAAACCCTGACAAACCGTTGTAGTGGTGGTGATGGTGAGGCCCTGGTGAGGGTAATAACACCTCTCCAATCACATGTTGCCGGGGAAACTGTCCTTTAAAACTGTTGGTGTGCACCATCTCTAAGTGGAGTAGACATTTTAATGTTACCAAAGGATCAGAAGAGACAGAAAGAAATAAAACAACATGTATATATTTTCTTTGGTTGGAATTAAGTCATTGAACAAAGCGACTTGTATTTCTTGTCCATTTCTCCAAAACCTTCATCGTCGGAGAGCCACGAAATGAATTCCCTCACAGGACAAAGCTCATCCTCAAGCAACAAATCACCACAAAATTTCATTTTGTTAGTGAGTATCTCTCCATTAACAAGAACTCGAAAATAAAAACCATCTGCCGAGTTTTTCTGCTCTGAAGTGTCACCAAGAGTGTCCCTCCACAATTCAAATACCACACGTGTAGCATAAGGAGTCCATCTTGTTTCATCATGAACTCCAAGATTTATCAGAAGTGGGGTTACAGTGGTGTCATGACCACTGTACAGAACAAATTTAAGAGCAGATTTTTGTTGAGTCTTGTCCATCATTCTTTTAGCCATCTGAATCAACATCGGATTAGAGGCCACATCAGCTATTCCAGTGTAATTTTGTGCAAGAGCCCACAGAGCAGAATCAATTGCCCGGGCTGCTAATGATCGTGTTACACAGCCTCCAGGCCCACAAGGCAGTGGGAGGCTATGGCAGTAACGAGTGTATATTGCATCAGCCAAACTGCAATGATAAATGTATTTTGAATTAAAAAATAAACTAAGCAAAAGGTTGCAGTTTTCTATACAATCAGGGCATCAAACAGATTTAGCTTTTGGTTTTGGGAGGGTAACTTGTAAGACAAGATATCCAATCCTTATCTTCATCCCAAACCTGAAGCCTGACCCCTTTGGAGCTGTGTTAGTCTGTTGACTTGAGTCAAGACATACTCCTGAGTTGTAATGGATGGATTTTGTGCCATTCCATTGTTTAGTAAAATCATGACTGATCCCAATAAGTGACAAGTAACTGAAACTCTAACTGTTAATTTATAAACTCCCAAGTGAGTGACCATGACAGAATTTCTCCTTAAAATATCAGTAAAACAAGTGACGAGAATAGAGAAAAAATATCAATTAGGGGATTAGTAATTTATCCAATACCAAATTCTCTAAACTAAAACGTCGTCAGAATTGTCTAGCAAATGGTAAGGAGTTACCAAAGAGATCTTGGGAGTGACAGAGATAACTTCAGAGTCTGCTGCTCTAAAATGCTCATTAAAAGAGACAAAATGATATAATAATAATAATAATAATAATAATAATAATAATAATAATAATGACAAATATCTTTAGCGAGGAGGCAACCCCACCCTCAAGTGGTTTTCAGGCTGGTCCAGAGTAGAAATTATAATATGTAGAAGCTAAAAAAATTGTTAAATCTAAGAAAAGTTAAAAATACAATTACAAGAGAATCTTAAGATAAAACGTAAAATTCAATAACAAAATTAGAGAACATAGTTTATATAAGCTTCATAAATAAATCAAGGCTATTTGCACTTCGTGTAGACATTGGAGGACTGTTCCATTTGTGTAGCTCTTGATAAGTCAGTCTTCGTTCTCCCCACTGGCACCGAGATTTGGGCAAAAGAACGTTGTCTCTGTACCTAGTGTTATAATGGTGTATTTCCCTTGAGTGTGTAAAATTAAAATTCCAGTTAATCAGCCCATGCATGCATTTAAAAGCAAAAGAAAGACGGTGTTGCAGTCGCCTTTCTGATAAAACTAGCCAATCAAGCTCACTAATTGCCTCTGTTGCGGAAGAGTGTTCAGCTTTGTCAAGGATCAATTTAGCGGCTTTGCCTTGCAATAACTGGACTTTAGCCATTAGAGTTTTGTTGAATTTGTCTCCCCACAAAATGTCACCA